CTCCAATGCCTCATTTGCAGTCTTGCGAGATTGGTCATGTGATCTCTTTCTATGCTAATTTTCACACGTAGGCCAATGTCACTCCACTTAAAAACCAATCATGAAAAAGGTTGTTTACAAACATTAATCATGCAAAGAAAGTATGCCGGTCAAACTGACCAATAATTTTAACTTTTGTTGACACTTTTACCAGAATAAGACTGACTACATGATATTTCTCATGTATTACATCTTTGTCTTGAAAAAAAAATAAACTTTGTGACAAAAATATATCTCACTACTAAAAATAGAATCCTGAATCCAAGAAAAATATTCATTGTAGTAAATCTTTTTTCCTTAAAAAAAATGAATACCATATTTGTCTTGTATAACTTTAGTTTTGTTTGTGACATATATTTGGTCTCATTTGATGTTTAAAGAAGGTCACCAGCATTTGCAAATGGTTTCATGTAAGTATCCTTATTCTTTTCTGAATTTTTAAGTGTCAAATACAGCTTTGATATATAGTACTCAGGGGAAATGAATAGGGTGAGCATTTGGCAAATGGAGCTCTTTTGTTGAAAGAAATTGGGATTTTTGTTGTAAGAAATGGAAATTTTTGCAACAAGGGACATTTGTTCCTTTAGAAATATTTTAAATGATGAAATTTGGAATTTAAACAGATAAAAGCACATTGATCAGTTTATCCCACATTAATTATAAGTGGAGTAATTAATATAAAATAAGACCGATTGCAGAAGGAGTTTTAATGATTTGGAGAGGACCAGAGGCAAGGGGTCATGGAGGGGCTAGAAGTGCACCGACAGCAGAGGAGAGTGTATTGAATTTGGAGGACATAGGTCCCTCTTTTTCTGTATTTGGAAAATATACATTGCACATAATTATAGGATTTGGAGTGTGGTCTGTGTTAATTCAGCCTTCAAAACAACCTCTAAAAATTCCTGCTATGTGTACTTAAATGTTTACAATACATGTACATATAGCATTGGTCAATGTTCGAGTGATGAGAAGTATTGGAAGAAAACCATTTATTTTAACTGAAGCAGCTTCCATAATTTCCAGTGTAGAGTAGACAGAGTGGCATTGGATTATTGGCAGGCAGCAATCTTGAACTGATTTATTCCTCAGTAAAAAGGGAGTATGATCAAAAGCAGACGACATGAAGATTGAGTTTAAATCAATAACAATAAATCAGGAGTGCATGGGATGAATTATCTTCTGTATCTGGTTCCGGTTTATCACTTACCATATATATTGGGTAATTTTGGGGTGGTATTTGTTTAGCTATTTTTGATGTATGAGAAAGAATTGGCAAAATTAGTTTGCATATGTAACAATATATTCACTTTCTCACCCATACATGTGAACCTACATATCAGTACATTCAATATACATGCACCTAGTATATACTAATAGCTTGATGAATAGTGGCAGTGATAAAGTCTAAAATTGTTCAGAAATCAAATCTTTGAACTGTGTTAAAACTTCTAAAATATTAAATTTCATCATCTTTTATGATTCCATTTCCAAAATCTTTAATCTGATAACCTATGAAGAGCCTGGATATTATGGGAAATATCATTATGGTCTGGGAAACATTTTTTGCATCTTTTCCTGCCAAACATATGTTGCAAAATCTGTGGAATGAAAACTGCCTAGACTTTAAAACATTAAACAAACTATTGGAGAGTGGCAATCCTTGTATTGAACAAATCACTGAGGTAAGGTGGTATTCTGTTGATTGGAATGTGATTGCCAACAGTTGTAGTGCCATTCATAAATTAGCCTTTTAGGCATCATTTAGGATAAAACCCATGTCTTTGTACACTGATTGCATATTGAATGTATATTGAATGCATGTGGGTTAATATGCATGAGGGAACAGTATGGGAGAGAAAGTGAATATATTGTTGCATATTGATAAATGGCAGAAAGCATTAGCTCAGGGAGAAATGGAAGGCACTACAGTATTATGGCTGATTTCATAAAGCTTTTGATCTTGTAAACCATGACATTTTGCTTGAAAAACTAAAGATCTGTCGATGCAGTGAAAGCTCTAAACTGGTTTCCTTCTTACTTAAGCAAGAGTGAAAAAGGTATCTTTAAATGTTCAGCTTTCTGAAAGTAAAAATATTAATTGTGGAGTACCACAGGGCTCTATCCTGGACCTCTCTTATACATTATACTGATTAATGATTTACCTCTTAAGATTGGAACTTCAGTTTCTTCCAATGACCTCTATGCAGATAATACTACAGTGTCTGAGATGGGTAAAATCAAAATGGTACTTGGAAATAACTTACAATATGCTCTCAACAGACTCCAAATGGTGCCAGAAAAACATGGTCTATATCATTTATTTTATATTTGATATACCTTTTATACAATGTTAGCATCTTTACATTTTAATATTAGATTTTGATGTGCTTCATGCTTACATTTATTTGGAAGGGTATATCTTACATTTACTTGGTATATCTTACATTTATTTGGTAGGGTATATCTTATATTTATTTGGTATATCTTACATTTATTTGGAAGGGTATATCTTACATTTACTTGGTATACTTTACATTTATTTGGTAGGATATATCTTACATTTATTTGGTATACCTTACATTTATTTGGTAGGGTATATCTTACATTTACTTGGTATATCTTACATTTATTTGGTAGGGTATATCTTACATTTATTTGGTATACCTTAAATTTATTTGGAAGGGTATATCTTACATTTATTTGGTATACCTTACATTTATTTGGAAGGGTATATCTTACATTTATTTGGTATACCTTACATTTATTTAGTAGGGTATATCTTACATTTACTTGGCATATCTTACATTTTTTTGGTAGGGTATATCTTACCTGTTTTAGTATACCTTACATTTATTTGGTAGGGTATATCTTACATTTACTTGGTATACCTTACATTTATTTGGTAGCATATATATTACATTTACTTGGTGGTATCTTACATTTATTTCGTAGGGTATATCTTACCTATTTTTGGTATACCTTACATTTATTTGGAAGGGTATACCTTACTTTTTTTTGTATATCTTACATTTATTTAGAAGGGTATATCTTATTAGGGTATATATTACATTTATTTTGCAGGGTATATCTTACATTTATTTGTAAGGATATATCTTACCTTTATTTGGAAGGGTATATCTTACATTATTTGGTATATCTTACATTTATTTAGAAGGGTATATCTTGCATTTATTTGGTAGGGTGTATCTTACATTATTTTGAAGGGTATATTTTATATTTATTTGGAAGGGTATATTTTAAATTTATTGGTGTAACTTACATTTATTTTGTATATCTTACAATATTTGCACAATTCTTCATCTTTACATTAGAACTTTTGCTTTTGATATAGCATTTACTGTGCTGAGTACTGTTTAATGGTTATGCATACATACCTGTAACTTTAAATTTTCCTTTTTTACTTTTTCTCCCCAAAGATCTATCCTAGTTTTTTTTTTCAGCCATCTTTAAATGTTTCTTAATACTCCTCTTTAACAGAAAAGACTTGTTTGCTAGGTGGACCCATAACACAATTAATTTCTCTACATTTGTTTTTTAGTATTGAGCTTTCCACTGTGTGACAATCAATACAATTCAGATGTTAATCTAAACTACTTTAAAAGATGACTTCATGTTGATGTTATTGTCAAAGTTTCACCATCATAGTTTGAAAGGCTGGACTGTAAACAAGCCAACATGCAATGGAATACAGGTTTCACTTCTGGATCATTACCAAGACCTTATTACTCCCTGTACACTCGCTGAAACACAAACAGACAACCACACCATAAGCTCATATTCTAAAGAATAAACAATTGCCTTTAAATCCATACCAAGAATGCAAAAATCTAACTCTTGTGTCACCACCAAACGGAGACAGGAAATAATGCAGTAAAAATAGACTGGGGTTACCTTCATTGATACTTAACTGGAACTTTTAATTGTGATCTGTTTCCAGGTGGGGCAAAAAAAAAATGGTGCTGCTCAAGTATGGCCACCATAGTAGCCATCTTAAGAATCATGTTATTGACTCTCCTCCTGAGTTGTATAAACATGAGGTTTTACTAAAACACCTTTTGTGATGTTTAGTTGGACCTAACATGAAAATGGTGGCTATCTGATGTCTACTCCCTGCAGTTCAAAGAAATTTGTACATGTGTCTTGAATTTCATGAAATTAATTTTGGCCAGTAGAATAAAAGTCATATACAGTAAAACCTGTCTTGAGAGACCACTGCTATGAAAGACCACCTGGCTTGAGAGACCAAAATCTCCATGCACAGATTTACTGATTATATAGTAGTATGACCATTTTAAAAGAGACCACCTGTCTTGAGAGACCATTATTTTTTGGCAAAAGGGGTGGTCTTGCAAGACAGGTTCTACCGTTTGTATGTGTGTGTGTGTGTATATATATATATATATATATATATATATATATATATATATATATATATATATATATATATATATATATATATATTGTTTGACCTAATTGAATGCAGCATTTGCAGGTCACTATTAGTGATGCTGATGGAAAATGTCATGCAAGTGTTAAGTAGTGCCTAATGAAGACTTAACTGTGCTAGGGGATATTAATCAAAAGTGAGAGGGCTTTTCTTTACTACATTTAATATAACCTTAAAAACACCAGTTCTTCATGCTGACTCATGCACTATAGTTGACGCCTTACTTACAAACAATCCTTGTGGACTTCAGAGTATGTGTGTGTGTGTGATTCTGATTTTTTATGTAGCTTTAACATTTTTCAGTGATATTGCTACAATGTCTGCAGTGTGGCAGTTTATAGTGATGCCTAACACATCATGCCACAAAAATGTAGCATGATATCCCACCCAGTCACATTATCCTGACACCAGGCCATCCAGTCCTAACACTAACCTCTTAATGCTGAACATCAAGTGAGGCAGCCATTAGTACCATTTTTATAAGTCTTTGGTATGACTCAGCTGGGGTACAAACCCACGACCTCCCGCATCTGAGGTGGACACTCTAACCACTAGGCCATTAGAGCAGTGTGGACTTTAGAGAGAGCATTAAATGAAGACCTTTTCTAGGGCTAATCTTATAGTCTGATTGTGTTATTATCAGACCCTCTATCTGACTCTAGTACACATACCATAATGCACAAAATCAAAATTATATAATCCAAAATAAATCCATATATTTGCTCTCCAAACACACACTTTTTCAACTGATACTGTATGTTAGAACTTTCAAAAGTATTATGCTAAGTAGTAAATTACTTGTAAACTTTATCCTACTGAGCTAATTAATTCCTAACTCGTAACTAATTAAATATTTAATTATTATAGGAAACTTGCTGTCATTGATTTATATTATCTGTACAAATACATAATCCAACTGTCATACTGACTTCATTGTTTCAGTTTCTCATCTAGCAATGTAACTTGACACCATTGTTCATAACTGATAATGTCATAAATACCCTGAATCTCATCCCTTAAATTTAACATTTAATAAAGATGTATTCGTCTATCATAGACATATAATTATTAAATTTATGGAGAGAATTTAGAAAATTTATATATAATGATATCTTCTTCTTCAAAACTTATATAAATACCATAGCACCTTCAAAAAACTCTATTTAGTCCCATAATTCAAATTTAAATACATACCGTATATACTCACTTGTAAGTCCAGAAACTTGAACATATTTTATGTTTGTTTCAATATACATAATTCTTTCTAATACTGAGCCTCAACAATCAGATATACACTTTCCACATGTGATTTGTTTCAAGGTGTCATCCCAGAATTCAATATTAAGCAACAATTGCAGTAGGTTTCATTCTCTAAACTGTAGATATTACTGTAGCTAAAGTTAGCTAACAGAACCAACTGTACCATGCTCCATAGAGAGTGCCCATTGCTTCAGCTGGCCATTGAGAAAGTGTAACCAAAGATCATATGTGTTCAGTGTATCAGGGCCATAGTTAAATGATGCAACTGCCATATTCTAATGTGTTGATTAAAAACAAGTCATAAGTCTTGTTTCTTTAAGAGCTGATAGTATTGACTGATTAAGTAGCCAACACACAATATTCTGGCCTATTACTGTTAGCAATCACCCAACACTCAACTATAGAAGCAGCAAAGAGGGTGAACCCTACAAAATTTTGCTCGAGTCCTTAACAAAAAATAATATTTAGAGACTGGTTTAGTATTATTGATCTTTTTTTTCAGCCTCTGTAGGAACCTTTATTTTTCGTTAAGGACTCGAGCAAAATTTTGTAGGGTTCACCCTCCCTGCTGCTATACAACTATATGGAGATAATTCAGTCACCATGCTGTAGACACCCATTGAGACAATTCAATGAACAAATGTTCATTTCTGGAAAATGTATGAAAATTCCATCATAATTTTTAATTATGACTTTTTAATAATAAATTTTGTTTGAGTGACTGCACCTTTACATTAGGAAAAAAGGCAGCTTGACATTAAGTTTTAGTTGTTCTTCAAGGAAATGGATTTTCTTTAACTGATAATGTAATGTTGTAAACATGTTAACATATACATAAAAAACATTTTTGTGACTAATTTTATTGGAGTTTTGTTTGAGTTTGTCAAGAGATGGTATCAATATTTAACAGTTAAGAAGAATAAAAGAACAGCAGAAATGGATTTATCTTGGATTCCTAGAAATACCTTTTGATTAATATGTCTCAGTTCCATTATGGGACTCTTGGTAATTTTGTGGAAAGCCATTTTCATTTTTAAAAAAAAAATTATTTAATAAATATGGTATATTAGGCAAATTACAGTCAGATATAATGGTTGTACCTGATGTACAAGGTGCTTGGAAATTGTACTTTGGTACTCTCTGCCCACAGCTTCCAGTTTCCAACAATACAGTCACTATGATTCTTGCAGTTCTTTTAGTGCACAAAACGACACATGGAGATTGCTTTTAATGAAATAATAGTATTAATGCTTCTGTGGAAGTCAGCATCTGTTTCTCATTTCATCTGGCAGATCTCAGAGTTTTACCTTGATAAGTTATGTGTAGTGATGTTTTATTTGTGTAATTGTGGATCAATTTGTATGAAATGAGTCAGGTGCTTGCAGCATGTGGCATAAAAGAATTCATTATAATAACCATTAAAACATATATAGCAGGTCATATGTGATAAAAGCGTTATTTATCCAGTCATCATAATATCAACATATTGTTAAATAACAACAAAGGTTTTCAGCATATTAAATACATCAGTAGAAGGATAATTGTGCAAAAAAGCTTACAATAAAGTTCCCATTTACATTTAAGTTAAACTTTACAATTAGGTAACACTAAACTTTACATTTAAGTTAAACTTTACATTTAAGTAACACTAAACTTTACATTTAAGTTCAACTTTACATTTAAGTAACACTATCTGTATAGTTTTGAATTGCCAGGCAATTAGCATTAAGAGGTTAGTGTTAGGACAGGTTGGCCAGGTGTCAGGATAATGTGACTGGGTGGGACATCATGCTACATGTCTGTGACATGATGCTCCAGTGCTAGACATCACTATAAACTTCCATACTGCAGACATCATAGCAATATGACTAAAAAATTGTTGAAGCTACGTTAAAAATCTAAATCATACATACACACATTTACGAACATGATAAAGTTAATTTACAAAAAAGTAACAGTCTTCAAAAATGTTTTAGAAAAGTACCAAAGTAGCTGGAAGAATGTCCATTATCAAAAATAGCAAATCTCCTGATCCAATTAATCTGATGTGTTATGCATTATAGCCATTAGTTTATCAATACACAATATTTCCAGCCAAATTAATCAGTTTTCTGCATTATTTGCTATAGCCCATTTCTCAGTTTATATACAAATTCTTAAACTATGTTCAATATATCTTTCTCCAAGCATACAAATGAATTTAGTAGGTCTGGACTATCTCATTTTAATAGCTACCCCTTTTGTTGTCCTTGGGACTTAAATGGTGTCTCAGGGAATGCAAGGATATCAGTGAGAAATGGAAGAAAATAAATTATTTCTTTTCAGAATCTGATCTTGGTCTTTTGTTAATGATGAGTCATAGACTTATCTGTGTTCTTCCACAGTAGCCAACTAACTTTTTTGGGACCAGCCATTTTGTTTGTGTGCGTGTAAATCAGAGATTTTTCTTTTTGTTTTCTCTTTTCTGCAAGGTAAGATTTGTTTTTTTTAAAAAAAAAACTGAATATAATGGATATGATAGTGGTATTCATGCTATAAATCAAAGAACTATATTTTTTTCAAGCTATTTAAGAGCTGATGTATTGTTCCACCAGAAAACTCCAAAGCTGCCCTCTCTCATTCCTAATCAGATGGTTAACCTCTTAGATATGACCATTTGTGACATATCTGCTTTAGTTGATTTCTTTTGGGAAGTTGGTGATGACTTGTGTGTTAGTGTATACTTAAGAAGTAATATACCCAAACCACTGGGGTTAGGACTGAAATAGAAATTGAATAAGGCAGATTTTGATGCTTTAGACATTATGCGAATCAAATCTGACAGAATGATCATTTCTAAAACATAGCAGATCCAATTATTGCTAACATACTGTTCAGGTACTTATATAAATGTTTCAACAAACTATGGCTTCATGTTGCCTGTAAAGATGCTATCAGAGAGCGGATAACGGTCCTTAGAGATTTTAATGCCTGTTCAATTACTGAAAGTTGGAATAAAACCCATATAAAGTGGGCTGAAACTTAATGTTCTGTCCTTTGAAGAAGCATATAAAGAAATCTCATAAATTTGTAAATCACAATTCATTTTTCATTAGAGAACAATAAATATGATTTATGCCATGTCAAAAACCTGAAAGAAAATATTTCTTATATTTTAAGTAGGCTGGTGTTAAAATTAAATTTAAATATTTTGCTCACAGAGAAGTTCTAGACAGTCCTCACCAAGTCTGTGACACATCACTGTGATTTGATGACATCCAGTATCAGCTTCCGAAATACTTGCATGTAACTGGTACATATTACAATACTTTCAATAAAATCTGGAAAACTAGCAAATTCCCATGGCAAGAAGCAACAGTATACGTACCAAAACCTGGCAAGGTCCTTATGGATTCTTCCAACTTTAGTCATATAGTAATAACAAGCTGTAGCTGTGAAATCATGAAAGAAATGATAAATGACTGTCTCTTCTGGCATCTTAACTCCAGTAGACTACTTTCATACCTTTACTGTGGATTTAGGCACTTGAGAAGCACTGACAGAAGCAGACTTTTCATCTTGTAAGACATGAGATATACATCATAGACTTTGATCAGCTTGAGTAAAACAAAAGGTATGCATACTGTTGAATGTCATTGTTATTGTTGTTGTAGTAAGGTTTCATGCCTTTTTTCAGTGCAAGATAGGCTATATATGGCAGCCATTATTAGTGGTGGAGTAAGAACCTGGGAAAACCCCAGAAAGAAGCACAGATCCATGAGAAGCTACAGGTATGCTTTCTCATACCCACATTGTCTTAACCCAAGACTTGAACCCACACAGACAGAGGTGAGATGGCAATGATTCTTAACGGTGAGCACTTTAGATATCTTGACCATTCTGTTGAATGTTAACTGCCAATATGCTTCAAGAGAGTTCATAAATGGTAGAAGAAAACAGGTTCAAAGTTCAGTTTTCTCAATCAAAAACTGTAGTTCTGAAGATGCCATGAACTTCATAATGACTTAAAAGTTTCTTGACAGTTCACTTACATTTGTTGTCTAGGGGACCCAAATTTGTTAGACTTTTTAATTTTACCATATACTGACTTTCATTCTGGATATTGGATATCTCAGGGACAAGCTTGAAAGTCCTAGGATTTAATACATGTCATGGGCAAGACAGAGATTGGGAGCACACTGGAAGATTTTAATGCAGTTATCAGTATATGGGACTTAATAAAAAACTAAAATTTGCACACAAATCTTGCCTATAAATAATTGGACTAGACACATCTTACCAGTAAATGATTGGTCTATACACAAAT